CCAGAGAGTTTCTTTGTCGTGTCATACAATTGTCTCATGTTTCCTTCTCTTGCAGCCTTTTCCGCCGTCGTTGCTAAATCTTCCACATATTTACGTTTGTCGGTTCTGATGCTACTCTTCACTTGTTTGTTTATTTCCGTGTATTCAGCTTGTGCCTTGGCTTTTTCTGCTCTTGTTCGGCTGGTATTGATCGCTGCCTTCTTGTTCCTCCTTTCTTGAATCTTATCCAGTGTACCAACAGTGATCCATTCCTTGTGGTGGTGCTTCTTGTGACCCAGGACCTCATGACATGTTGAAGTGATTGCCTCTTTAATCCCCTTCCAGTTGCTCTCCACAGTAGTTCCTTCTCCATTGAGTAGATCATGAAAGGCCTGGAACTTGTTGCTGAGGACTATCTTGAATTTGTTGAGTTTGTTAGTATCCTGGAGAAAGGCCGTATTGAACTTTTGTGATACTGTCTGCCCCGTTGTCCAGTGCTTCTTGAGTTTCAATTTCATCTTGGCGACCAGTAAGTGATGATCTGATGCTATATCAGCTCCTCTCTTGGTTCTCACGTCCTCTATAGTCCTCCTTAACGTTTTGTTGATGCAAATATGGTCGATTTGGTTTTGTGTAGAGTGATCCGGTGAAGTCCATGTGGTTTTGTGTATGCGTTTATGTGGGAATATGGTGCCGCCTATGACCAGCTTATTGAAGGCACATAGGTTTGCAAATCTCTCACCATTTTCGTTTCTTTCTCCCAGTCCGTGTCGTCCCATGATGTCTTCATATCCGGTGTTGTCCGTTCCAACCTTGGCGTTGAAATCTCCCATCAGAATGGTCAGGTCCTTTGTTGGGCACTTCTCGACTATTGACTGCAGCCTATTGTAGAATTGGTCTTTAGCGTCTTCATTGTAGTCGTTGGTAGGCGCATAGCATTGGATGATGTTCATTGAAATGCCCTCTTTCTTTGTTTTAAACGAGGCTTTGATGATCCTTGGTCCATGAGATTCCCATCCTATAAGCGCATTTTGCGCTTGTTTGGACAGCATCAATGCAACTCCTTGTGTATGTGGTGCATTTTCTTCTTCATGGCCGGAGTATAACAGGAGCTCTCCTGTAGTTAGTCGTTGTTGTCCAACTTGTGTCCAATGTGTTTCACTGATCCCAAGTACCTCTAGGTTGTATCTTCTCATTTCTGCAGCAATCTGGAAGGCTCTTCCGGTGTCCCACATTGTACGAACATTCCATGTACCTAAATAAATGGTCGCTCTGGTTGTCAGAAGGGGCATCGGCCTCGTAACTTCCGAAGGGATTCGGCTTTCATCATGAGGCGTCATAATTCTTCTAAATGAAGATCTTCTGACTCCCAGGGCAGAGTTTAAAAGGTTTGAATAATTTTTTCTGGTTAGCGTTTTTTTAGCGAGTTAGTTTTCTACGGGATGGGGACGCTAACCCCATGCCCGACCCTCCTCCTTTATCCGGGCTTGGGACCGGCAGTAGCCCCCGGAGGGACTCCAGACTAATATACATATTAGCCATATAATAAATATATATAAATATAAGCATATTAAAAATTTTTTATATTGTATATAATTGCCATAGGAAATCGAGATGAAACAAAATGTTAACTAGTGTCTTACGTGCAATAGTCATTTAAATGTTCTGAAGACCTTACTCTTCTTCCAGAACGCGTCGTTTTAAGTTTATTTTCAGATACTGTCGAAGTATCATCGCGAGTGTTGTTTGTCGGATGAGATATTATAAGTGTCGGAGTTGTGTCGTTCGATTGTATTGATGGAAAATCGACGTAGATAGGACTTCCTCCTAAATACGCTGCTTTGAGGCGATCGATGCCGATGCTATCGTTGCTTCCGTTCTTATCAATTATATAGTACTTAGGTTCGCGTTGAAGAACTTCGAAAAATCCTTCGTATGCTGATTTGAAAGGCCGTCGATGCGAGTCTCGACGTACGAAGACGTGTGTACTATATCGTAAGTCAGGTTGAACGAAAACATCGGTTGATTGAGGTCGAGTAGAAGCAGGTTTAACTGAACGCATTGTGTTTGTAAGCCTGTTAGTGTAGGAGGTTAGATCCATGTTCATTGAAGAGGATGAAGGATCCACGAGTTAAGAGATAAGAGTATCCATTTGAATCTGATAAAGGTCCTACCGAATCCAGATGGACATGGTCGGAACGAGCATCGGGAGTTTTAAACGACCCTAAGGGACATTTATTGTGTGTGATAACCTTAGACTTTTTGGCAGCTTACACAGGAGCGTGCCCACTCCCTCACGTCTTTATTCATGCCAGGCCAGCAAACCGTTCTGCTATAAGCTTGATGGTTGCACGAACACCTGGATGCGAAAGTTTGTGCAATGTATTGAAGACATTGCGTCGATAATGTTTCGACCCGATTGGACGATCTCTACCTGTAGATGTGTCACAAGGTAAGGTTTCCTTACCTGTTCCCATCTGTTTGATGCATGGCTTGAGTGCTGTAGACGATAACTCGTGCTGAAGATCAGTGTCTTCTTTTTGAAGCTGAGCGAGTTTAAGAAGGTCGATCCCTTGGAAACTGTTATGCGAAACAGGGCGTCTGTAACTATATTGTTTGCCTCAGAAATGTGTTGAATATCTGAAGTATGCTGTTAAATGTAGTCCAGTTTTTGAAACTCTCGAGGAGATCACTTATCTGAAGGTGAGCCTAAACAGAAGGAAAGGGGTTTGTGAACGGTGGAAAAACTGAATTCTCGGGCTTTAAGAGAATGTTAAAAGTGGCATACAACACAAAACATGGCTAGGATTTCCCTGCGGAAAGTGCTATTGTACAGTTCGCTGTCTAGCAGCCGTTTCGAAAAGAATGCTAAAGGGTGTCAGTTGTTGTTTCCCCATTCTTGTAAGACTCTTTGCTTTGGCGATAAGTTCTTGAACGGTGGAGAATGCTTTTTTGCAACATCGTCCAAATTGATGGACCGCGCATTTCCACGAAGTTGGTCGATTAAAGGTTTCATAAGAGACGCTCAATTTGGTATGAACCGTCTATAGAAACTCACTAGGTGGTTGAACGTGCATATTTGCTTGATTGTGGTCGATTCTGGGTAACACGGAATGGTCACCGCATTCCGTTTTAGAGGTCAAATGCCTTGAGCATCAACAGTGTGTCCATGAAAATCTAAAGTCAGTGCTGTTTTGACATTTTAAAACGTTTACGGTACTGCTGTGTTTTGTAGTCGTGAAATTCCAAACGCATGTACGAAGTGGAGACCTTCAAAAACGTTATCGGTGAATCTCAGGAATGTTTTGCAGCATTTCTTAACCGAAAGGCATCTTCGAAAATTCATAGATACCGAAAGAGGTGATGGAAGTGACTTTACGAATGTTATCAGCGGCCATGGGAATTAGGTTATATGCTATAACTAAGTTGACTTTCGAAAAAACGGATGTTCTTATCAAGGTCACCGTCAAATCGTGAATGTGAGGCAACAGGTGATCAACAATGGTCTTCGCATAGTCACCATTTGAACGCCAGTCTATGCTGTTCTTTTTAGGGTCCATGTGCAAGGGAGATGACCATGGGCTGTTCGATAGCCGAATGATCCATGCGTCAGTGATATGGTCTAATGCGTTTTTAGACAACCTTGGTTTTTCAGGAACTAGTCGGTGCGCTTTCTAGAATACAGGTGGTCTTGTGGTCTTGATGTGACGTGTAACATTGCTGGTTACACATGGCAATTTTGCCTACGTTTGGTACTTATCAGGTATTTGTTAATAGTATGGATCGATCATGTGCTTTAATGTGACTGGGAATAATATACAACCGGAAAAGTCACAAAAACAGATGAATTAGTATTTCTGTCGATGAATCTCCGTTTTCCCGACAAGTTGAGTAAATTGTAAGCTTGTATCAAGTCTATACCAATGATTAGCATTGAAACATCTGCAACAACGATGATCCAGTGGATGGGTTTGCGTAAATCCACGTTAAGGTACACATATCGCTTACCGTATGTGGCAGTCGATTTCCCATTCGCAGCTTGTAAGTCGGAAACCACTTTGTGCAGTCGGTATTCAGAATTCGCTGGAAGAATGCTAACTTCCCGACCAGTACTGACGAGGTAGCGAGCTTTCTTAATCACACCAGTGATGTGTAAACAGACGGTTATGTTTGCCGGCTACGACTGCCGTTAACACGTACCGGGTGTGTAATTTCCTGAAGCATTTTTCGCGTTAGTCGGTTTTCGGTTTGGGAAACTACAGGGTTTTCTACACTTCTGAGATTTTCTGGACTGATTATGATGCCAGCACCAATCAGGGTTGTCTGTGACCTAGAGACAGATCGTTTTCGTGAAGTACTCTGAGGAGTTTGGGAGTGTCTACGGTCATCACGAATACTAAGGTAACCTGTCAGATTAGTACAGAACTCTGTAACGTCATTTAGTTCCGTTTGAGGCTTTTCTTTGGCTGAATAGACCATGGTACAGGAAGTTCCTCTGATCTCTAGAATTCGGCCGACAGATGCAGTCAGTTCGTCTACAGCATTGTTTCGAAATGAGACAAACACTGCATGCACCTGTTGGTGAAACTTAAACAAAAAAGTTGTCCAAACATGCCCATGCCAAAGGTCCATTGAACAATGTCCTCACGTAACAACATATCTGTTGTCGAGCGAAAATCGCAGCAGCTGAATTGAGGGTGGCGAAGAAGTCTCAATCCTAAATAATTTGGGAGTTTGTTCGGTCATGATGAATAAAAGGTAAATTACATTAACTCGGCTACCAAGTACTGAGAAACTATTCTTTCAATTGTAGACGAAAGTTCTTATACATACTTCCAACAGAAACAATGTCCAACCTTTATTGATTCATTCAAGAAGAGAGACAAAACATCATAAGAATTTCACTATGGAAGGACCAACATGTAGTCGACCTCTCGTTCTCAATGTACAAACTTGAACCAATTGAAAATTGAACAGGTTTGTTATAAGATTTCTCCCTGATTACCAAACAGCGCTTTGGGTTTTTTCAGCGGGTTTGTACTTTCATTCGTTTGGTTTGTTGATGTGTTCCTATGCAATTCATGACATTGAAATTTCTTTAAGTTACATTTTCAAGGGGTTGGCAATTTTTCGTGTGATACTGATACCTCGGCTACAAAGTGCTATCTCTAACAGTTAACATTTGGTAATACCTTCTTGATAACCGTTTTATCCAAACGGTTCCTGTCATATTGAGGACAAATGCGAATCATTCAACAGATTCATTGTATATGACGTTTGCTAAGATAGCCTTATCAGTTTCGCCTGGATCGCCTCAAAGTAATTTCGGAAAACAAGACGAATAATTCTAGCTACTCTGCTTACATCCACTTTGATATGTCATCATTTTAGTCTATATTTAAATAAATGATTCATTTCGCTTGTACCTTTAAGATATATTTTTCTCCCAAAGTCTTGATTTAGTAATAACACCCGGTGAGTAAAATAGTTCAATAATTTTCGATCATAGAAGACCTATTGAGGAAGTTGTGGTTTTACGTATTCTCAAGATTCCATAGAGCTCGTAACTCAGACTGCCAGTTGATGACTTCCGTGAATAGTTAGTGACTCGGATCATTTACTAAAATGATTGCATAATCAGGCTAAAACTACACTTTGACGGCTTATGTCACTTAGTATCTCCCCAGGCCGAAGTAGTTAGGGCGCCGTTCAAATATGAGTGAGTAGTTCCAAGTTGCGTTTTAACTGCTAGTCAGTCGTATTTCAGTCAGTGTCACGTGCTGCTCTGGTCCTCTTGAATGAAATATCACAAGCATGAGTAACCACTGACCGTTCATAAATGACATTCATTAACCATTTTAACCCATGAAGAAATGTAGTACAATTCAATTTTGGACTACGGCCATATGGAACGTGTCAGGAATGAAAACTTTCCTCGCTTTAATCCATACTGAGGTATTTGGGGAAGTTCTTTGTCCCTTTAAACTATGTTCTCTCCTATTTAAAAATGTTATGTGCCTTTCCGTGTCCACCTCGCTATGTTAATGTACTTAGATTCACTTGAACTGACCCATCGTTTTGACCATGCTGTAGATTGATTATGACTGACTTCAATCATCTTTCCCAAAGGATTGTTCACACCAGATGAGACCACTGTGAGCAATGCTCATGTTTGCACAACAATCTCAATCATTCCAACCACCCTGAAACACCTGCTTTGGTGTCTTAAACATGTTTTTTGATTGGTGTCTCAGCTGCTGTGTGCCACATTATTAACCAGTACTGACACTGGGTCAGTTTATGACATGGGGCAAGGAAATGTGATATAACTGTACAGGGCTGACGTTGGTTAGTCACGGTCCTCTGAACGTAGTCTTAAAAAGTATATAGCTCATTTTGTCAGGTACAACTGAAAGTAAAGGCCAGTGGTAATCGTTCTAGCTTTCTATCATACCCATCTGTTTTCCTTACTGGGCAAGATCTTCCTCAATTTTTGTTTCTTGATCAATTCGTCTCTTAATAATTACTTTTATTATTATTACTAATCAAACTTCGCTTCTCCCCAGTGTTGGCATTTCTACTTCGTATGGTATATTCCTCGTTTCTCCAGCGTACCGAAATTTTCGTGATTAACCGTGAGGATTTTAATCTCAGTCATTTTTACCAACCAACTCATTTGCTAGGTTTTTTTGGTAGCAGTGACAGTAATAATACTACTGGATTGCCCAAACCAAAGTGACATTCAAATCTAGGACTAAGTGGTTAAAAGTTGAACTCCTTGAACATATATATATATATGTATATATACCACAAAGTTTACTTCCTGACTAATTGAACAAGCCAGAACTAACGTGGCAGTCGCTTTGACTACAGCACTCAGCTTCAGCTGGTATGTCCCAGGTCCGGACGCTGCTATCTATTTTTGTTTGGCCTGTTGAGTAGTACCATTAGTCCTCATACAAACGGCATGGTCCATGTCCGAATACGAAAGTACGTATACCATAAATAATTTATATTTGACTGGCAATTTTATATATTGAGCGAAGCAGTTGTACTAAAGCTGCATACATTTCACGCTTCCTTAGCATTGGTGATAATTCGTGTTTCAAATTGATAGTCTGCTTTTCTCAATTCTTAGTTTTTAATAACTGAAAGGCTTTTTTTCGAATAACAGGAATTTATTATTACGTTTAGTCATAAATTTTCTTTTTCAGTCAATTATGAATCAGTTTGGTCATCAGTATACTGTCCAACCACCACCTACCTTTTATACGAGTGATATGAATTCATTTGGTAAGAATATTCTTTGGTTTTGTATGATGCATAAGTAATTGTGTTTTACTTTGACCGGTGTTAGGATCTCTAAGCACAGCTGTAGGTTGTCTGTAAAATGAAATAATTAACTAACCGCTCAACCAGAGAATATCCATTTAAGATTGATGCTTACGCAAGATATTTTAAATATAGAGCCACCTCGTAATTTTGTTTACGTTTAAATTATATTTCATATTTTTATTTTCTTGTAATCAGTAATATTTTGACTCGGATTTTATTAGTTTCCTCTAGCTGTGCTCGTATGAAGTGTAGTAACTTGAGAGTGGTGTTCGTCAGGGCTGCCCACTCTCTCCATTCTTGTTCAACTTTGTCGTCGACGTACTTTTAGAGATAACACTTTCCTCGTCTAAATTTCCAGGAGTTGAACTTCTACCGGGAGGTTCACTTGTTGACTTAGAACATGCTGATGACATAGTTTTATTTGGTGAAGACTCTGACAAAATGCAGTCTTCTGACCACTAAGCAACAATGCAAGCATGTTCAGGATGCGATTCTCCCCCTCGAAATGCAAAATGTTGCTTCAGGATTGGGTTGCATTGACACCCGAAATAATGATAGGCAGTGAAGTAGTTGAGCGTGTCGACCGCTTCATTTATCTTGGAAGTCTCATCAGCCCTTGTGGTCTGGTGTGTGACGAAATCTCAGCACGGATACAGAAGGCTCGACTAGCTTTTGCCAACTTGCGTCATTTATGGCGTAGGCGAGATATCCGTCTATCAACCAAAGGACTGTGCAGCAGTTCGTTCCGTCCTATTTTATGACAGGGAAACATGGCCGGTAAGAGTAGAGGATATTCGTAGGTTACTAGTATTTGATCATAGGTGTCTTTGAAACATTGCTCCTGGGACCATCGAGTAAGTAACGCAGTTGTTAGGAAACGGGTACTAGGTAAGAATGGCAAATCAATTGATGATGTAGTGAAACTTCATCAGTTGAGATGGCTGGGACATGTGTTACGTATGCCCAACGACCGACTGTCTCGACGTGCGATGTTTTGTTGTATAGGAGTAGGTTGGAAAAAAGCTAGAGGAGGCCAGACCAAAACATGGCACAAGTCCATGAAGTCACTGACAAGTGGACTGAGTCATGTTGGTAGGTGTAGACTACCTGGTTGGGGACCGCGAGATGATAGCAACCGATGGTTAGAGACCCTAAATGACATAGTTCAAAATCGTTTGCAATGGCGCAGGTGCATACACTCTTTGTGTTCTCCCAAATTTTGATCTACTTATTCCTCCTTGTCTCTTATTTTTTTCTCTTTCCAAATTTATTTCACTGTACTATACTCTTTAAATAACATCTCCAAACACTAATTTTCCTGATTGCTGCTTATACTCTTATTACCTCTACCACTACGGGATTTGAATCGGCCACTACATCTCTGTGTTAATATGATGTGGCAACTCGAACTTATGTACGTACGTACGAACTTCTACGTTGTTACTGACTGACTGACTGACTAACTTGGGTCGATACACGTGCTTTGTCTTACGTTGCGACTCGCTAACTTCTATGTTGTATATTCTCAACACGGTCATGAGACTACCTTTAAGGTTTGACGATTTAAAGACTACAAGCTTTTGATTGTTCGTAGCTTAACAGCCTTATTGGTGTTTCAAAATCAGTGAAAACTGATGTAGAAATTGTTGTTACGATCTTGTACGCTTAGTTACTACCAACTTTGAGATAGAATTCTAACAGGAGCAGGACTATGATGGCATTGTGCTAATCATTGGTAACGCTTGCCCATGGAAATATGAATCTGGTGGCCGCAATGTTATAAGCAGCAAAATAAAACGTCCGGGCCTTAGTCGTTTAGCAACCAGTTCCAGTCATGTTAGTTCATTCGTATTATGTAGTCTTTATTTTCACATTCATCATATATCACTTTAAAGAAAATGTGCCTCAGTAGGTGTCATTACCAAGGTTTGATTTGATAATTTCGAATAAATTGAGCATTGGGTTGATTGTTATAAATAAAAATAATATATTTGTAATATCCCAATGAGTAGAAAATTGGATTTTCTGACGTTTCGTGGCTTAGTGTAAGTCACTTCTTCAGAGAATAAATAACCAAATTAAAATTAATCCAAGTTTAAATAGTACAATTTAGTACTATTTAAACTTGGATTAATTTTAATTTGGTTATTTATTCTCTGAAGAAGTGACTTACACTAAGCCACGAAACGTCAGAAAATCCAATTTTCTACTCATTGGGATATTACAAATATATTATTTTTATTTATAAAAAATGTGCCTCAGTTAGGAATGTTCTAAACGTAACTATCCCTGATGTCACAGGGTTGGATAACAGATTTTTGGATTATTCAAATTTATAATACTAATGTGTGGTAGTGAGGATAAGATGTGGTTAGTCATTTGGCGTAAACAAGTAGGCATAATTACTTACGCCCCAAATGCCCTGGTATGGCCGAGAGTGGGATGGGCCCGCCCCCCCTCTCGAAATGCTCTCACACGGCCAAGCGTATACAGCCTCTGCCAGGGAAGTCCTACTCACTGCCTTCTCGTGGCGGGGGTATTGTCTACGAAAATGAGAGGACGAAAAGCGAATGTCCGGCGCTTTAACCGGATCCCAAACCAATGGTGCACATGGGCTCCAGTATCCTGCGGGAACAAATGGCGTATGAACCAATTGTTGGCCACCGGCTACCATGAGACTGCATCTCCACGATGCTCCACTTCCTTGTGGGTTAGACCTTTAGGTCAAAGGCTCGGGGTGTGGCTCCCCAAGAAAACCACCTGCTTCGGTCCGGGCACCCGAGCAGTGTCAGAGCCCCCACACGTATCAAATGAGATTTGTGTAGCGCATATATATTTGGTGCCCTCTTGTACCAATATTTATGTGTTGAAATAAACTCACCAGCATTCTCCATTGAACTCTGTCCCGAGCAATCATTTTCAGTTGCTATTCATCCTTTGATGTCTGCTTACAATTCTCGTTTCAGCGTGTTCTTTGACCTTCCTCTTTCCTGGTTCCCATCAGGATTACAAGTTAGAGCTTGCCTCGTGATGCAGTCTGATGATTTCCACAATGTGTGTCCTATCCACCACTCCTATTGTTCTTCCATAATTCCCTCTTCAGATGGAAGTTGGTTTGTTTTCTCCCACAATATTCTGTTACTGATTGGTATCCGGTCAACGGACATTCAGTATCTTGTGCAGACATTGGTTTATAAATAATTGTACCTTTTTTATGATGTTGTGGTAGTTCTCGAAGTTTTGGCTCCAAACAGTAGAACTATCTTGAAGTTCGTATCAAAGATTCGGACTTTGATATTAGTTGACGATTGTTTTGAGTTCTGTATGTTGTTCAACTGTAGAAATGCCGCCCTTGCTCTGCTAAACCTCGCCTTTACATCTGCATCCGATCCTCATTGTTCATCGATGGTGCTGACTAGGTACGTGAACTCTTCCACCTGTTCCAGGGCTTTTCCATGAAGTATGATTGGATTGGTGTTCTCCATGTTGTATTTGAGGATGTTGCTTTTTCCCTTGTGTATGTTGAGGTCTACTGCTGCAGAGGCTTCTGCTAAACTGGTTGTCTTGACCTGCATTCGCTCATGTGTATGGGATAGAAAAGTCAGGTCATCTGAGAAGTCCAACTCGTCTAGTTGTATGTAAGCTGTTCATTGTATTCCTCAGACATAGAGGTCTTCATAATCCAGTCAACCACCAGAAGAAAGGGAGACAGTAAGTCGCCTTGTCTGACTCCGGCCCCTACTCAGAATGCGTCTGTCAGCTGTCCTCCATGCACGACTTTGCAATATAGTCCGTCGTATGAATGCCGTATGATATTGACGATCTTCTCAGGCACATCAGTGTCGACGAATGTTCCATAAGGTTCACCTATTCACTCTGTCAAACGCCTTTTTCATAGTCAAGGAAGTTGACATACAGTGACGAATTCCATTCAATTGATTATTAATAAGAATAATATATTCGTAATATCTGATTGGGGTATTACAAATATAATATTTTTATTGATAAGAATCTTCCCAATGCTCAATTTATTGGAACTTATAAAGTCAAACCTTGGTAATGATACACACAAATTCAATCGATTGTTCAACAATGATCCATAATGTCACTATTTGGTTTGTGCACGACCGATTCATACGGAATCCGGCCTGTTGATATCTTCATATTCAGTGTTGTCCACTTTGACCTTGGGCGTTTGACGAGATATCCTTCTTTCCAGTTTGTCAATACTTATTCGTGCTCCCAAATCTTTCTGAGTAGAACGTGAGGCATGTTTGCATTTACTTTTGTTTCTGATTTCGGTGCTTTAGATGGTATATTGTCAGGTCCTCTTAGTTTCCCACTCTTGATTTGTCTGATGGTCGTCCTTGTTTGTTCGATCGCTGGTGGAGTGAGATCTGTAGGAAGATCTGTAGGTGCTGCTTCGATGCCAAAAACGCTAACCAGAATAAATAAATTAAACCAAGTAGACACGGCTTACTAACTAAAAAATATGACTTCCTTTCCTGTTATTGATTTCTACCCCGGACTCACTGAGAGTGACTTGTGTTGAATAAAGTATTATCTAGCATTATTTTTCTCTATTTTTGGTCGTGAATCGTGTCTCTGACAACCTAGCCTGTGCATAGCGTATCGATCAGGTATCTAGTCCAGCGGTAGTATATATTCGAACACCAGCCTTATCGTATTACTGCATTATCGTAGTATGCCGTAGGGAGAAAAATATTTCAGATCAAACGTTTTATTACCTAGTATAATAGTTTAGTAGGCATTGATACACATTTATCAACGTACTTACCATCACTCAGCACACCTTTTCTGTCTTTTGGCTTAATTAACGTTTCACTATTTAGCTTTCTAACGTAGTGTATTAATCAGCAAATTGGTACGAGTTCTTCATTCGGTTAAAATGATTACCCACACTGTCTGATTGTTTGTTATATATTCACGACCAACAGTATTTGCTTTATGATTACTGTATAGTACGAAAAACACTAATTGATTTGGCTTTGTGATATTGATTGCATAGCTTTTGTTTCTTAGGTTAATACTGAGACTACGTGAAACTTTATTCTTTTCAACTTTGTAGGAAATGCTGTTCAAAGACCTGGACCCAGGCCTTATAGTTTTGAAGTTCCACCTCAAGATTTTCAGTCTACACCCCCTCTTCGGAGTGACAGTGGATATTCGCTTTGTCCATCCCAGTATTACAGCAGACCTGGGATAATGCCTTCCACAGAAGAAACTTGTGTTAATTTTCCAGAACAACTACCAATAACCTCTGAAATCAATGAAAATAGCAACGTAGTCCTTGACTATCAAAATCAGTTTAGTTTTCGTGTTCCTCCCGAGATTCCTAGCTGGATGACCTTAAATTCCTCAGCTAGTAACTTCTACACTGATATTCAAAAATACACTTCACAACCTAATCCAACACCCCAGTCGGTATATACTGGGATTCCAGTTCATTACAATAGAACTCCTGAGAACTCTACGTTTCAAAATCGTGGGCGTGTTAGAACTCCTGGTCCTTTCAAGGGAAATAGAGGAAGTAAGATTTTATGCGTAAATAATAATCGGATTTGAATAGACTAAAGTCTAGTGTTTTATCTTGAATTTGTTTAACGTTGAGGAGTGCAATGGCTTTGGATGTTTAGAGCATCCTCATTAACCTAATTACCACATAATTTTGTGATATTTTGTGGCTTAACATTCTATGGATGAAATAATTGTAGGCTGAAAAATAACATCAAATTTTAAGACAAGTAGTGGTGGAAAAGATTTGTAGCTCAGGTGGATGATTTTGATGGAGTTTTGTTCTCCGAGCTGGATGGTTTGGTCGTGTTTTTTTCGCAGCTGGCACATTTTGTAGATGATGTTTGTTTTGTCTTATTTTTTCATATTTTATCCTTTCGTTTGCATAGGATTGATTGTAGTGGTTTTGTTGGTTTGTGTGCAACACCTGTTCCGAAGATTCTCAGCAGTCTCGTTGTGGTTTCTGATATACCTTTTATGTATGATCCTGTGTTATAACATGACCAAACCATCCAGCTCAGTGAAAAAAACTCCATCAATAACAAGTAGTGTAGAATAACTAACCTTCACAGATCGTCAGTTGCATTCACTGTTTACACAAATCATGTTGAATTCCCTTTCGACAAGATAGAAATATGATTTTGATATTGTTTTTAATAGGTCTTCGAAATCGCCCCAACCAAGGTACTCACACCGCTAATACTGCCGGTACGACGACAACTACAAAAGAACCATCCATTTTTTACTGCGATATTTGCAAAGTTAGTTGTGCAGGTCCACTAGCCTTCAAAGACCATGAATCTGGTCAACGCCACAAAAAAAGATTGTCCCAGGTAGGTTTGTCCTGCAATTACTGTCTGACTTATTCATTGTTTTTAATTGAATTGCTTTCTTAATGCAATTAAACATAGGTGATTGTAAGCTATCATTCATATCAAGTAGTTCTTTACAAGCTTCAAGATTTATTGTCATCATTTCAATTGAATATGTCTTTTGCATTTACCTTCACATGTTCCGTATTACAGGCGTAATCTTGAAAACCATAATTTGACCTATCTAGAATATAATAATTAACATTCCTAACAGTCTTATAAACTAAAGACCACCAACTAGCTTTGAAAAAACTTGTGAAAGATGAAACAATTATGCTACTTCGTCCAGATAAGGGTTCCGGTGTAGTCGTTATTAACAGAGATGAATACATTAGCAAAATAATGTCTACTTTAATTGATTCCACTAGATTTATCATCGATAATACCCAGAAAGATTTAACAGAGTACATATTCTTTCTGTTCTGTAAAACAGTGTTTTGACCAGGGCCTTTTTGTAACTGATTGGACAAAAGCTATTGAAATTAAGATAACTACCATTCCATGTGTGGATTATTTTTTCTGGCCTATGCTCCTTCACGAGGAGTAACAGGCGTAAGTAAGTAAGTAAGTAAGTAAGTAAGTACCATTCCATGTATCTTTCTTATAAACTGAACGTTGAACTGTACCATCTTTTCTTTTCATCGCGATATATATCTCAATTACCACAGTTTCTGCCCAATGAGTTACAAAAATTAATCACGTAGAACATTAGTAATCAGATTAATTTCATCATCAAGGTATTCTTTTGAACAGATTTTTTGAGCGCGAATTAGCCATGGATAATTTTATTCTAATCGGGATTTTGGGCTTGTGAGTTTTGGGTAGGCCGTATAAGTACGGTAATTGTGATCCTTTAGGTTTAAGTTCACTGTATGTATGATTATCTATTAGATTTTTCTTTAGATCTCTCAAAATCGTTTGCAATGGCGCAGGTGCATACACTCTTTGTGTTCTCCCAAATTTTGATCTACTTATTCCTCCTTGTCTCTTAATTTATCTCTTTCCAAATTTATTTCACTGTACTATACTCTTTAAATAACATCTCCAAACACTAATTTTCCTGATTGCTGCTTATACTCTTATTACCTCTACCACTACGGGATTTGAATCGGCCACTACATCTCTGTGCTAATGTGGTGTGGCAACTTGAACTGATGTACGTACGTACGAACTTCTACGTTGTTACTGACTGACTGACTCTCAACTTATTTACAAGTCGCTTCTCTGTCCTCTCTGTTAAATCTTTCTGGGTATTATCGATGATAAATCTAGTGGAATCAATTAAAGTAGACATTATTTTGCTAATGATAATTTGAATCGTAATGAAACGATCCGACAAATGGATCAATGAGAATAATTAACATGAGGACAAAGTATCGATAAGATAATACGACTTGAGCACGTCCATGTCATGTTGCACAGGCTTTGCTAATTGCGTCGGATTGGAGATTGCGCTGGCTTCGCTGAATTTGTTCGTCGTCGGCGGGCTTACCAACTTAGTGGGGGCCCGTAATTTAATCGTCATTTAGATCGAACGATGTGGTCGAAAGGGCTCACCAGTTTAGTGGCCCGCGTATCTGAATCCATGTAGATCGTAATGATGATTGTTGTTGAAATATATGTCACTTATCCTCGTGTATAATCATCGACTTTAATCGCGTTAGTCAATAACGGAATTACAATATCCAGGCGCATGAATTTAAGATAGTATTCCCAACTGCCAAATTTAAAACATTAACTAACTGTTAGGTCTCAATTCGTTGTTTTCCCATGAATAAAATACTATGAATAGTTGATTTAATATCATTTTAACATGAGTCGTTTTCATATTTTTATCATTTTTCACTGTTAGGTTGAAGCGATTGAAAAATTAAAACAGGAAGTCTCTACCGATGGAAGTTCATCATTAATTATTAACTCAGCTTCACGAGAATTGCGTTGTGAGCTTTGTGATGTTGGTTGCACCGGTGCCGACTCTTATACTGCCCATTTATCTGGTAGACAGCATCAACGTACGCTCAAGTTACACAAGGAATTGGGGAAACCAATTCCAGAAACTGATGATCCCCTTGTACCAGCTATTGTGGCAGATATGATTGCCACTGCCGCTGACGATGCTAAACCAGGTGAGGATTTTTAGATTTTCGCAGGTTGTTTACGGTTTTATTTTTTCCCCATTTCTTTGAATCCGCTACTTCACAGTGCTCACTAGTCATTGCTTAACTTAAATTGTTAAATTGTACCTTCGTTTAAGATATTTGTTAAAAATTTCACAAAGCATTTTTGAGGTGAGAGTTCTTATTCTGTCTGTGTGAAGGAAACGTGATTTTGCTTGACTCATTATTGTTGATTATTTACTTTAATTAAATGAGACGAAACAGTGTATCATTGTCGATTTCATTTTCATATTCTGGTACCGCTGAAATAAATTTCAGTTTTTACTACGATTAACTTTAAATGGGTTGCTTCCGCAAGTTTTGATATTCTTCATCATTCATTACTACAGAATACATTTTTTATCTTTACTACAGTTGAAGCGGATGAAAATAAAACAAATCCTACGGAAAACACGTTTATGAAACATATCGATTTAAAACAACTTGCTGGTCCTGAACTACCTGCTGTTGGACAAGAGTATTTAGAAACTGTAAGAGCTTATGTAATATACATTATTATGCTTTTAATTACGTGTTTTCTGAATGTCTGGTTTAAAGTTAAGTAAAATAAAACACTCTAAGGTAGTACCAAACCTCAACAGTTGACATGATTCGTACAGAATGCGCGTACAGAACTGCTGCTTTCATCGTGAAGTACATTCTTAATTTGACTTGTGTGTCCCCATCCACCGTCTGTGTCGACATGTGATGACGACCAATGTTGGAGTAGATTGAAAAGAAGTTATGGGGAGCCAAACCAATACATGATATCGATCCATGAAGACACTGATTACTGGACTTGAGTCATGTAGGTGAGTTCAGACTATTTGGTTGGGGTCCGCATAATTATCGTTACTGGCGGTTAGAGTATAGCAACTAGCTTTGTTATACTCCTGAACGATTTATCCTTACTTTTGAACAGTTAAAATATTCTAATCTTCCTAGTCATTCATATATGCGACCTTGAGCGTGTGTGTATGATTGTACGTATCTATCTGTATAGTTGTTTATATCTTTCATGGCTATAAATATTGAGCCATGTTTTAATTAAGTAGTCTGAGAAGCCTTCCTTCATGTTTCACTTCTTACCATTTGTCTGCACAAATGAATGTTTAGTTCGTATTTGGTTTTTCTCATCGCTGTCACCCAAACGGGGCTAAGTGGAAGGTTTATATTTTATCGCTCGTTCCATTCACCATTCCAGATAGAGTCAGACAATTGAACCTATTAGAGAGTTTGAATGATATGGCTCAAAATGGTTCTCGATCGCTCTGATTCACTCACTCTCTCTTTAGATCCCAAATTTTTAAATTACCATATATTTTTTTTACTATTGCACTAATCCATATTTCCTCGAGTTTTATCCTCGATGCGCAATCCTTTTTTATTACTACTAATACTGTTACTACCTCTGTAATGAACGAGAACATAAGTGAGGACAACCAAATGTATTAGAATACAAAATTACTGAGTTCTTTCGTAAAATATAAAAACCATGCATTCAATACATTTGCAAATCCTCCATCAATTGTCTCAAACTCCATCGTTCCTTCATTGCCGCAACAATCACTCTCTGTTCCCGTTCTCTTCGATTCAATCTTCCCAACCTTCTGATTGGCGTTGTCCTACTTATGTCGACATAAGCAGCACACACCACACCTCTACTACTCAGGAATTTGCTCATCTCGTTGCGCTAATGAGGTTGCGGTGTGGCAATTTAAGTGGATGCACATGTGTGCCAGGTATCTGGATTGTGTATAACTAACTAATTTGATAAAGGATATTGTTAAATGTTAACATACAAAACTGAGATTTCTACAAACTATAAAGTTGTCAAGGGTTTGTTGGAATCTTATTGGTCTTGAGATATAACCTTTAAGTCATAATTCACTTACCGTTTTTCTCTCCTTTTCGAAAAAATTTCTCTCCAATCAGATTATTAATAGCAACAACAAAACTGTTAAATATCGTTGCAAGTTATGTGATTGTGAATTTTCAAATCCAGATTCTCGTGAATGTCATTTACGTGGTCGTCGTCATCGTCAACAGTACAAAAAGAAAGTCGATCCATCGTTTATTGTCGATCCAAATCCAGGAAATCAACTTCGTCGAAAAGTGATAGCAGCTAAAGAAAAGAAGACGAGACGTAACGAACCAGTGGGTTCATAGTTTTCTCTTACTAACAATATTTACTCTGTCTAGACCATTAGTATTTACTATCTTCTCATATTCCGAAAGTTTACTAGTATATTTTTCTGACTGATATATCATAATTACTTCTATAACATTACTTTTCAATATATTATTTCATAGTTTGCATCATTAACTGGTCTTAGCTTCACGACGATTGAGAACCAAAAACCATGGACAGCTATTTAATCTTAGAATGGGGTTCCTCACCAATAAACATTTGCGACCCCTCCAAAAATTGAATCCATGGACCTCGCGGTGAACACTTAACCTTTAAACCACTGGTCCGGCGCACAATGGCTTAGATGTTTAGTTTTAGTATGTACACGATATTGCGGACCCCATCTTCCAGTGCGGTCGATGGATAACTGCTACTCCATTCCCGGCATTATTGGACTCGGCTTTCCACTAGAACTCCGAGGATTACCTCTTGAAAGTAGTCATTAGATGAGCAAATGATTACTATTATTACAGAAGATTTGTGGAAAGCTTTGGGTTTCACAGACTACATCACGGATTGATCATAATGAAAGTTGTATATAAGACACTGTTGGTTCCCGATTATTGTTTAAAATCAATCCGTGATTTTAAGAAGGAAATTCATCAATCGCAATAAGTCTTTTGTAACAGTATAATATTACGTATTCAAATGTTAGTACTGCACATAAATAGATATTGGTCACTTGATATACTTTATAAAAAAGAATGTTTCACACCTATTCTTTACGTTTGCCAATTATATATCATACAAATACATATTGCTTTGTTTCGATGATTTTTAATCATAGTTAAAAAAACACATTAATATTCGAGATTTCATAAAATCTAATTAAGCGTTATAAAGAGAATAGCAAAACAACCATGCCTGTTCAAATGGCAACATCGAGTCAAAGCCATTTATGCTGTATGGATTTTAACTAATCGGATTACAAAAACGCATTGTTTACAACCAAATAAATAATTCACAAAGCGGATGAATGGTGTGGTTCTAGATTAATTGAGCACACGTTTGTAAAAGCTAGTCAATTAATCACTTTTCTTTAAGTATTTATAATCATCCCCTTACAATTTATCAAAAGTGATCATATATTTAAACTACTTGGATAATAAAGCCAACTGTTCATACGTTAATGATACTAAGATTTTACTCCCTGAATCTTGTTAAAAACATTTTGCGATCCAAAACATGTTTTTGGTAACTTGGTTTATACTACTTCATTCATCCTTAGTTAAAGACAATTTATTACATTAATTTTATACGTTTTCAGAAACAAAATACTAGCAGTTTCCCCAGTTTCAGTACCTTGCGTAATAGCAGTATGACAGGAAATTGTATGAGTGGGATCCCATATGACCGTTTTCCTGCAAAAGTCCCTCGAATATACTCTACTCAAACTCCTAATAAATCTCTAGAAAGCAGGTACATCAGTTCTAAGCATACATCTTTGCTACCGACAGCTTGGGAAGTTCAGGTAATTTTTTTTACTAATAAACTACCATTGTATACGATACATCAATTTTATGAAACTTTTGTCCAAATTTATTTCTACTTTTGTGTATTAGTTCTTAGTTCTGCTGGTCTGTCCATCGAAATATTCTTATATTTTTTCTATCGGTGTACTGATTATATATATATATATATATATATATATATATATATATATATATATATATATATTGCTTGACACTGATATGCAGACCATACTTAAACTTTAGAAACCAAGATCTCTCATCCAATTCCACTATCGAAGACGTTATCACTATGTAGAGTAATAGTAATATGTGGGCTTTCCTTTTTAACAGGAAATGGCGTTCTTGACGATTGCTGAAGCGTTGTTCAAATTTAGCTTCCTGTTATTTGTTCTTAACCACCAAATACAGTATTACATGGTTTTTAGTTGTTTACCTCAGTAATCACATTCAAAATCTGATAGCATTCGGTCATAAATACGACCTTAGTAGTGTATTACTGATCACTAATTGGTCAGTGTCGTATTTAGAATTCGTTCATTTTCTTTACTAAATAAGAGTTTTTAATTTAATTGGAAACGGAAGAAATGTATCAAGCACTATTTCTTTTCCAAAGATTCCGTATTTTCCCTGAACTACATCACCAGTTGAGCTATGAAGCTCGACAGTTCGGTAATGAAAACTTCCTATAACTGTCACAGGTTTCTAGTCCACTTCATCCATATCAATCTAAGCAGCCCGTTAGTATGAGCAGCTCTCTTTTTAGTCCACGTTAATTTGTGACTTTTGTCTTCTCTTCATTAAGGCAATGATGTTGGCTGTAACGATTTGTGAGCGCTCCTTGAAAGGCGTTAGTAACGACCTTTTAAAACAGGCGCGTTCAGCATCAGATCTTCCTGATACCACCATATGTGCTAAATCTTGTGATGATGATAATAATCTGGATGAATTGGAAGAAAAAGTTGGTGAACGTCTGCTTTGTGGTGTTGTTCGTGTTGGTGCATTGGGAAAAAATGTACTCTTAAGGGGTGAACATTCAGCAGAACTAGTTTTAATATGTTCTAAATGGCCTACTAAAGAGTTAACAACTTATGTATCAACTAGTATTACAAAATTAATGGAGGTTAGTTTACTTTGCTCTATGTGTTTTTTTGTTAAAATATCACTTTTCTGATAACTTATCATTGAATAAATTTTCTTCACTTTGTCAGATATCTTGCACTTGTCTACTCAAGAACAGTTGTAATTAAGACCTGTAGTAATTAACATTTTGTAAATAGTCACCGACAACAATTGACAAACAGTACGAATTGTTTAATTTCTCTCTGCACCTACACAATATTTGGTATTATTTATCGAATATTTTTCCTCGTCTAGATTTCCAGGGGTTGAACTTCTACCGGGAGGTTCACTTGTTGACTTAGGATATGCTGATGACATAGTTTTGTTTGGTCAAGACGCTGACAAAATGCAGAGTTTTATGACCACTCTAAGCAACAATGCAAGCATGTTCGGGATGCAATTCTCCCCCTCGAAATGTAAAATGTTGCTTCAGGTAAGGATGGCAAATCAATTGATGATGTAGTGAAACTTCATCAGTTGAGATGGCTGGGACATGTGTTACGTATGCCCAACGACCGACTGTCTCGACGTGCGATGTTTTGTTGTATAGGAGTAGGTTGGAAGAAAGCTAGAGGAGGCCAGACCAAAACATGGCACAAGTCCATGAAGTCACTGACAAGTGGACTGAGTCATGTTGGTAGGTGTAGACTACCTGGTTGGGGACCGCGAGATGATAGCAACCGATGGTTAGAGACCTTGAATGACATGGCTGAAAATCGTTTGCAATGGCGCAGGTGCATACACTCTTTGTGTTCTCCAAAATCCTAATCTTCTGAATTTTTCATGTCCCTTTCCTGTTTCTCTTTCCAAATTCATTTCACTGTATTATACTCCTTGAATAAGATCTTCAAACACTAAGTTTTCTGATTACAGCTTATAGTTTTACTACATCTAGCACTACAGGATTTGAATCAACCACTGCATCTCTGTGCTAATGTGGTGTGGCAACTCGAACTTATGTACGTACGTACGAACTTCTACGTTGTTACTGACTGACTAACTGATATTTTTCAGAAGGAAATGTACTGCGCACTTGTAACCAAGTTAATTATACTTTTAAAATACATTAGTCTGGTTAACAGTTAAGTCTGTCTAAAGGATTCCACTTGGACGAGGATACCATCTTTTCCCTAATTTTATTAAGGTTTACAGAAAGTTTATAATTTACTATAATCGCTTCATAAATATTTATTATTTTATTGCAGTTGGGGTACCAAAAAGTATTTATTTTTTATTATAGTTTGAGTTCTTGTGTACTGTTCGAGTAGACCGTCCTTTAAATTTTCAATTTAATAAATCTAGCGTACAAGGTAGTAAAGCAACGTTAAAGGAAATTGCTTAGTATCCGAGAACCACAGCGATTTCATGCACGATTGATTCCCTTGGGTGACAAATCATTGCTTTCAATTAGTTTAGCCTCAGGGTTTTCCAACCCCCATGTTCCTCTATCCTATCTCCCTGGAAAGCATTTAATAAACTATCAATACAGGACGGAATTCATTTGAAAAATCATTACATTTGATCAGTCTATTCTTCGACCTTTTAATCAATTTAGCTGTCTTACTGGTTTCTAGTTACACCTGCCCGCGATCTTTAACGTAACTGACTATATCTTTTTAAATCTCTTTTCATAATTTTTTTCGCGCACTAAATACCTTCATTAATAATATGTGTGACAGTTTTGTCGCTGACATTTATCTAAAACTAATTTTCGGTCTCAATGACTGACCTTCAACTTAGCTTACCGTCTTATTGGTTTCGCCTCCTGTATATCATTCGCTATCCGCTAAAGTCGCATCCTATTGTCATTGTATACGGTCCTCTTCTGCCAAATCACATAACTTGTATTTTTCTAGGACATAAAAATATCATTCCATTATTGTCATTATGAAATAATTGGATCTGCGGGATTAGACTTGTGCAGCAAGTGTGATCATTGGTAAAAATTACTACTTTGTCGTGGAAAAACTCTGGGCTATTATTCTCAAATGTAGTTACTAGACATTTGGTAAGTATAATTTAGCCCGTTCGTTAAAGGTGTATTAGATCTATGTTAGACTACCCAAATTATGATTAGTTTTTTGTAAGTTTTCAAGAATTTTCCGAAAACCCTAGTCGATATATCCTGCAGGTTCATTACATTAGGGTGAACTTCAGAAATCTCTTTATTGTGAGATATTTTAAATGAACCTGAAGGTGGTATCGATCTTGGGTTGTGATTGGAATATGTTGGCTTGATTTTTTTCATACAGTCACTGGAATCCCGTCTTCAATATACTGTCACAGCAGAGCCTACTATGGGAACAATTACGGTCGTTGTGTCCTGTCCAGATCCATCCTTACTGAATAAAAGTGACACCTGTGAAGTAAATTTAAAACCTGCTTGCAAAGAAAACGAATCTGCGATATGGCCTACTATAACACTGGTAATCAACTTAACTTCCCCGATAGTAGTTCAAAAAAATGAAGCCGCTCCTGAAGATAAAAATGGTAATTATATTCTGTCTTTAAAAATACGTTTTTCACAATCATTGTATGCAATTTTATTTTTCTACCTGGCGACCGACAGTTCCTACGTTTATCAGTCACCTAAGTGGGAAACATAAGTCATAAATTTTGAATCCCTGAAACATGTTCACATACTGTTTTATAGATATTTATGTTGTAAACGAGTGAAATACAGCGACGAACAATAAGGCACTAGTTTTATGTACACGTATATGATTCATATCAACCTCAATACATTTCTTGGTATTATTAGGAGATTATCTCAGAAAAAAGGTTATCATAACGACCTGTAAAGCCAAATTACTATAATGATTCATTCTGTGGCGGTTCAGCAGAAATATACAAGTATAAAAATGAGAATTATGTTTCACCGTCATTTCATTTAACGATAGTTTGAAAAATAAACAACAATAAAAGCATATTTCTAGTGTTCTTGTTAAGTCCTTTGAGCTACAAAGTTTGATTGTGGAACTTTTATTGTCGTTCTTGACAACGTCATCATCAAGCTCACTATAGAAACTTGTGTTTCGAATTATAGGTGATTGAGTTATTCTGAATCTGACTCAGAAAATATTACAAATATCTCAATTCCTTCACCGGTCACTCTTCCTGTAGCTCTTCTAGGGTTAGTGCCGGTTACAAGCCCGTGTAAAGGAAAAAGGTTAGGTATGGGATCAGTAACCCCGTCCCATAGAAAACAATCTACAAAACGCTAACCAGAAAAAATCATTTAAATTCCGCCTTAAGAGTTGGAGGATCTTCTTTCAGAAGAATTATGACACCTCTTGTTGAAAGCCGAGATTCTTCGGAAGTCATTTAACCAATGCCCTTTCTAACAACCAGAGCAACAATTTTCATAGGTACATGCAATGTTCAGACAACGTAGGAGACCGGGGAGATCAACCTAATTGCTACGGAAATAAGAAGATACAACTTGGGGGTTCTCGTAATCAGTGGAAAACATTAGACCCAAGCTGGACAACAGATAACACATTCGGAAGAGATGCTGCTGTACTTCGGTCACGAAGAAGAAAATTCTCTACACACTCAGGGAGTTATGATGCTGTCCAAAGAAGCACGAAAAGCACTTATAGGATGAAAATCTCATGAATCCAAGCTCATCAAAGCATCCTTTAAAACAAAGGAGGCGATAATAATGAATATTGTCCAGTCCAATACATTCACCAATGTTAGCAATGAAGAAGATAAAAACCGGTTTTCTGAGGCTGCGGTCGATAGGAAAAGGTTACTCAGGAACTAACCAGCCTGATACAAGATGCAAAACCCAAAATCAAAGTGGATAACACTGAGTATGAAGATATCAACAGGCCGGATTCCGTATGAATCGGTCGTGCACAAACCAAATAGTGACATTATGGATCATTGTTGAACAATCGATTGAATTTGTGTGTATCATTACCAAGGTTTGACTTTATAAGTTCCAATAAATTGAGCATTGGGAAGATTCTTATCAATAAAAATATTATATCTGTAATACCCCAATCAGATATTACGAATATATTATTCTTATTAATAATCAATTGAATGGAATTCGTCACTGTATATCAACTTCCTTGACTATGAAAAAGGCGTTTGACAGAGTGAATAGGTGAACCTTATGGAACATTCGTCGACACTGATGTGCCTGAGATGATCGTCAATATCATACGGCATTCATACGACGGACTATATTGCAAAGTCGTGCATGGAGGACAGCTGACAGACGCATTCTGAGTAGGGGCCGGAGTCAGACAAGGCGACTTACTGTCTCCCTTTCTTCTGGTGGTTGACTGGATTATGAAGACCTCTATGTCTGAGGAATACAATGAACAGCTTACATACAACTAGACGAATTGGACTTCTCAGATGACCTGACTTTTCTATCCCATACACATGAGCGAATGCAGGTCAAGACAACCAGTTTAGCAGAAGCCTCTGTAGCAGTAGACCTCAACATACACAAGGGAAAAAGCAACATCCTCAAATACAACATGGAGAACACCAATCCAATCATACTTCATGGAAAAGCCCTGGAACAGGTGGAAGAGTTCACGTACCTAGTCAGCACCATCGATGAACAATGAGGATCGGATGCAGATGTAAAGGCGAGGTTTAGCAGAGCAAGGACGGCATTTCTACAGTTGAACAACATACAGAACTCAAAACAACCGTCAACCAATATCAAAGTCCGAATCTTCGATACGAACGTCAAGATAGTTCTGCTGTATTTTTTTTTATTACAAGCTTTATTCAACATTATATTTTTGGTACAACATAGAATTCTCAGCATAAAGTATTTCAACAAGTTTCCTTTTCTTATACCTTGATCTATTGTGACGATAAATTTTGAATGATGACCGGTTAGATGTTAGGAGTTCGGCAATCCATATTTGATTAATGTTCATTCGTTTTAATGCATATTACCAGCCACCATGATATCGCTGATTGTACCTTTTTGTATCAGGTATAGCGAAAGGTTGTAAACTTTTCATAAACGCGCCTGAATAAGTTGTGCGCACAATAGACATAATGATATGCTAAAACAAACAACAAAACAGATAACTTGATGAAATATCTAGATCGGAGGAACAGGTTGCCCAGATATTCAAGGAGGCCGCCTGAGCCAAAACTTCGAGAACTACCACAACATCATAAAAAAGGTACAATTATTTATAAACAACTGTCTGCACAAGATACTGAATGTCTGTTGACCGGATACCAATCAGTAACAGCCTATTGTGGGAGGAAACAAACCAACTTCCATCTGAAGAGGGAATTATGGAAGAACAATAGGAGTGGTGGATAGGACACACATTGTGGAAATCATCAGACTGCATCACGAGGCAAGCTCTAACTTGTAATCCTGATGGGAACCAGGAAAGAGGAAGGTCAAAGAACACGCTGAAACGAGAATTGTAAGCAGACATCAAAGGATAAATAGCAACTGAAAATGATTGCTCGGGACAGAGTTCAATGGACGGAAATTTCTAAAATATATCAGCGTCTGTTAAACCTTTCCGTCTAATATCCTAAATGTCATTAGAAATTGTCACTAAATGTCTTGTTACTCAGTTTGAACGCTAAACTCTCCTCCAATGCTTTAAGTGCATTTATGGTTTTGACTCTCCTTTTGATCATGGACACATTTTGTTAGTAGCAATTCTAGTGACCTTATGTAGGTTTTTAAATCTTTTTATTCAGGATACTTGTTAACGCCATACTTGAAACCCATGTTAATGAACCAACAGATATCAGTAAATAGTAAATTAGGTTATAGGAGTTAGTGGTTTTTTGTGCATAGGGCAATGTGAAGACATTCGCTCATACAGTTGGTCAATAAATATAGAATTAGTCTTTAATAAAATTTGACCAATTATAATTTAAAAATGAGACAAAACCGTGTAAGTGTCCTTTGGATATTTACACTGTATATATGTACTCATCTGGAACTGATGATAAGTTTTTCTGTCTCTAAACCCTCAACACATACATTTAAATACAAAAAATTTTACTAAGTCTTTTCAGCCGATCCCCTCTGTGATTTTCCTTGTCTTTATTTTTCACTGTACTGAATGTGTATATTGTTGATTTATTCTACTATTTTATTCTGTATGTTGTTCATGGAGATTTATGTTGACTACGTTTGTCGCTTTTAGTCGTTGTGATTATATACATAGTTCTTATTCCCTTGTGTAGAAGTCCCACCAGTTGTCCAACGTTTGATCGTTGATGGTCATCCAATTCCCAAAGAAAAATGCATCAAATCCATAGATGCTCTTGATCATGCTTCATGGTTTCAAGTAAGTGCTTCAGTATTTCAGTTTGTTTGAAAAAGTAGTTACTTTTTCCAAGTTATTTAGTACTTTTCTTTTGGAAGTAAAATTGTAGATGCTATCAGTTTAACCTTGCATATCTCAACCTCTCTATTAGTTCTAACAGCATCTGATATCACAGTATTCATGATCAAATTCCGCTCTAACTTCCTAATATTTCTGATGTGTCCATGATCAACCATTCTCTTTGTCTTCATACGCTACCAGTGCTGACCATTCGAGTTCACCAAACGCTATCCGTAGTCTCCTGAAACCACTCTCGAAACTATGTTTGAACCTCATGTCAAATAATACAATAGGCTTTCTTAGCCAGGACCATATGATCTCTCACTATCTCTATGTTGTTTCTCCAAAACACATACAGGATCACTCACTTTTCACTGAGTCTATTTGAAGATCTGGAGTGGTTGGACAAAAAGAAATTTCAGATGGTTTCTCTTTAATGTTCTGATGATTATTTTCATATCATATTTTGATTTTAACCATTTATGTTTTCCATTCAGCATATTGCGAGCGGAGGTCCGATACTCTTAATTAGTCGTATTTTACGCGACTTTATCCAATCTAATGAATACTGGATCGAATTAAATGAATTTGTAAGTTTTCATTTAGTTCTACTTTACGCGTAACAGTTCCATTTTTATGTAGTTTCTTTTTTAAGAATGGATTTACTCGTACATATAAAGTCTCTCAGTATAATTCTTAACTATTCCTAATTTTTCCCAGTATAACCAGTCATTTATACATATTCATTTGATCCCAGCTTTCTGTATTTGCAACTGGACTGATATATCGTATTAAATACTGTTTCATCGAGTGGATTGCTAAAAAGTAATAAAGTTCTCTGTTTAGTGTCTAAATTATTTCGTTTTAAAGTGTTTGTTCATTAGTGGACTCTGAATATTTTATTGTCTTTTATTTTATTAGGATGTTGAAGTACACTTAGATCATCTCTTATCTTTAGAGTACAATATGGTTATTCGTTCTGGTTTCACTTCCCTCCCATCTCAGTGTGGGTCACCGAGAAATATGCTTTCTGTACCAAGTGACTTTTTCCATCCTTGCAAATTACTACGTAGATTTTTCGAATCAATGGCAAATGGATATTTGTTCTTTGCAATAAAACATTCATCTAATTCAAATAACACTGAGGATTCTCCTAGGGAGAACAATATACCTGTGGCGTGTACAAAACCATTTTATGTTACAATTTCTAATGGAATATCAGATGAAGTTTGTGAAAAAATAACTGTTTCAGCCCAACAAATAGTCAGACAAATTGCTTTTAATCAATTATACAAGGTAAGTGTTCTTATTCCTGCTCTAGGATTGTTTTTCTTATACGTAACTTCAATGATTAAAACGATCATATCCTTTCGAAAGCAATCACCTTAGAACACACATTTGTTTATATCACTTAGGTTTTACTATAGTATTCCTATGTTATACTATCGCTTTGTATATGTAGCTTTTGTGTATACTTGTCTTAATTCACCACTGGGAAAATCCAATTGTCTTCACCTTTTTTCTTATATGACTAGTTCTTATGCATTCTACACCAGCAAGTTGTCCTGCGTTTTAAATTACTTATCCAATTTGTTTAGACTTTTATCTCTAAAGATCGATTTCACTCCGCTCTGAAGATATATTAAGCTGTCCAGGCACGTTTTTCTTTGTAACTTTTGTGTTTAATTGTTAATATTAATAGTATACTATTGTCGTCCAACACCAGTCATCTACCTCCCGTTATGTTAAGGGATAAATATAGAAAGTGGTATGTTGTATTTTGTTAACAGTGAATTAAAAGGAGACAGTTAATTAGCTAAGACAAATTAACCAGGCTTTTATTTTCGCTAATCCATATGGACCTTGCATTCCAATTTTTTACTGTTTATTTACAACCAATTCTCTAGGTTCTTGGTATGGAACCTCTGGATTTGCCTCACAACTCAGATTTTGTCCAGTCAGGTGGTAAACAAGAACAAAACCCCGATGTTTCACAAGGTCAGGATACTTCCGAAATCGAATGTTCAGCTGATGATAAGAAGCAACAAAATAATTCATCTCTTAATGTCAGTTCTGTAGCAAATGGCATGAAAACGCAGGAATTCTCGGCAGAAGCACTAAACGTTGAGTCAGAATGTACTCCGGCCAAGCGAACTCGCCGCGCTACCGCCAACTCGAAATCTTCCATTTAATTATCTGCATTTCAATATTACACGTCCATTTATTTGGTTCCACTGTCTTGAAGTTCTTTTATATCATCCACATGTTGTTCATTCGTTCTTAATCAAATATACAATTTCCTAGTTATCGTGTCTACGTTGTTCTATCAGGTACCGTAAAATCAATTGTGATTTATTAGAGACTGGTGAAGAGAAGTGTTTAACGTAACTAAGTTCCCACTTTTTATTAAGACAGATTAGCCTTTTACGACGTAGTTCAGTTGGTTGGGTTGAGTAGTGTTCACTTCGAGAGTTATCTGATTTAAACTTGCTCCCAAGAATGTTCAGGTGTTTAAAAGACGTTTGTTAATGACAAGTAAATGCATTTTATCTGTAGTCCAGAATGTTATGTAGTCACTTCAGTCTTTGGACTTTAGTATTACCAAGGACTCGTAAGGTCTGTATTTTCACCATAATATCAATGACTACGCAAGATTTAGTCAACTATCAGTAACAATTTGACTGGCAATACACCTGCAAAGTTATATCAACTGAGATAACATGATTATAATTTTTAAATCGCTAGTCAGCGTGTTATACTTGTGTGCATGGTGCACAATGTTGCGACCTACCTGTCATTTGGCATTGTCTGTAGTTTATTGTTTAGGTCTTATGCATTTTCTAGTGAAAGTGAAGTGAGTCAGTATATATTGTCATTGGGTTGTGTAGCCTTGGGGTAAGGCCCTGCAACGTTTCAGCTTTTTCTGTAAATGGCTTACAATTCTGGGTCGGTTGACTGCATCGACTGTGGTTACGTTTTACAACTCCACCAGACGGGACCACAAGTGGTCTTAGCTAATTGGGCTGTCAACCGTCCTACGTAAGTAGATGGAAAAGAATTCCTTGAAATATGCACAAGTCCAGATTAGGGTCTTTTTAACTCTAGAACAAACTTGCCTGTCATCGGCAAGGATTGCCTTGCATTCGTGTTCATATTCATTTTGTCCCACAGTTCATTGACGAATGAGCCCTTCAATATGCGGGCCTCTGAAGTGACACTGGGTATTGGCCAAGCCGATTTACTATATTTTATTTCAGAAAACCAATCTAGGGACGTTCACTGACTATGCAGTTTGTCAGGGTCGACAGTTAGAACTCAGAACTAATTAGGTGACTTTTGAAGACCAATGCACGTAACTGCTCAATTTTGTTTTGAAGCAATGTCCTACTTTCATACTTTTAAGTAGTACATACAACTGCTGAATTTTATTTCACTTAAACTACAGTCATTGTGTGCACTTCGTTAAGTTTTCGTTACAGGTAACGTATGCACGGGAACTTCCCACGGGTGACCACAGTGGTACAACGTAAAAAATTTATTCTTTTCCTGTATGTCTATATTTGTTGAACTACAATCTCTGGTTTCGGTCTGCTGATTAACATGTTCGAAACTCAACATTCCTCTGTCCGTACACATTCGGCGATCAGTGTCGCGTTTCATAGTGTTCCAGCCGAAAGTTATCTGACGTTACACAGCACAGTTGTGCTTATGGTTCAGATTAGATTGAACGAAAAAGTTCACTCACTGTGTTTACTAAAGATTGTGTTAACATACAGGAACTGTGTTATCACGCAGTTTTTGGCCAGAAAATTGCTACCAGTTCATATCGAAGCCACAGCTATTTCGTATAAAAACTTAGGTAAAATACTATTTAACGAATCACGAAAGATTATCTGCCTAAAATCTTTATCTGAATTGCATAACGAGTTCTCTTGAAAACAACATTTGACACCGGTCTGTTGATAACGTTGTATTGGTGGACAGTGCTAGCGGAGTGTAAATACTGTGTGTGTATAGGTCGAAATGTTATACCTGAGAGATTAAACTGAGCCCTTCAGAATGAGGAAAGCACAAGTGGCCGTTCCTTTTTAGATAAGCCATTACCAGTCATTCAGGGCTGGAAAATATAAATAAACATATTTTTACGTACATTTTTGGTCGTCACCTAACAATCTCTTCTTCCGCTTTCTTATGTCTTCAGATTAGTGACTAGGGGGTTCTATACGTAAGAGTGCCATCAGTTGTGTGTTGTATTCTGCGTTAACCAAGTAAAGAACTTGACGGGAACTTATATAGGACGAGCTGAGATTTTTTATCTCAACAAGAAACATAATGTATATATATATTTTTTCTGATGAATCAAAAGTTTTATTCATTCTCAACTTCTATTTCTAATATTTCAGTGAGCATCCAGGAAAACATAAACCGGTTATACGAATAGGCTGTCATAAAATCTGTCACTAAGCGGTAATAAAAGTGGTTTTATTTATCGGGGCCTAAATCTTCTTCTAACACAACCATTTGCTGGAACTCTTCAACAATGTTCATGTCTTCGGCTTAAAGTATATCACTAGTTTGAACTTTACTGGGCACACTACATCTCAAGTTCAATTACACTAAATCGAATCGTTATTATTATATGAAAAATGTATCATATTTATCTCTGAATATGGTACGCTAGTTCAAAGTAATTGTAGGCATAATGATTTGACGAATTAAAACCACTGAAAGGAAATGCGCCAAAGCTGGTTTGAGAGATTCTGATAGTATTAATTTTAGCCAAAGTTGTTACAAACTCACGTTAGAATCTCTCTGGGCCAGTCGATTCAAATCGAACGCTGTCTTTATTTACGGGCATCCAAATGTCATTTTTTACTCTTCAGGATCATCTATTTAGTTCCTCATCGTGTCATCCCACAATCTCCACGATGTGAATAATATTCACTCAGTCCCGAAAACCTACACTCCTAACTCTGACGTGGCATGGATCACAATGGGAAAGTTACTTCATGAGAACAAATATGCCATATTTTTTAAATACCAGCCACCGTTTTCTTCTGCCAACAAGCATCAGAGACTTTCAAGTATCTGTAGTTGTATTGGTTCCTAGCCACATGATCTTCTCAGCTGGACGTATAATTACAGAGAAGGCTTACAACTTGCATCTTTACTGGATCATGGTTTACAAATCATGGAAAACCTCCCTTATTCCAATTAGTCATATTATCTTTGTATTCAATTTCAAACACGTTTCCTACTGATCATCATGGTCTTCTTCTTATATCGTCTTCAGATGATTTCCTTAGAAGACACTCTGTGTTGGTGTTGGTACATTTCCCGCCTTGGGTAATCTTCATGTTCTTTACAATATTTCAGTAGCAAAACTTTCCCAAATCGATGTTCGTTAAGTCGTTATAAATCAGATAGATTCCCCCCCTTCTGAATAGTGTGTACGGATCATGAATATCATGAAAAAACGTAGTTTACATGACACATGTATTTAAATAGTTAAGTAGTGACCTTATGATCCAAAGAAATCGAATAAGTAAGTCTTCCATCACGTACCCAACTTCCTTACGCCTGTGCATAGGCCGCACAGCAGCATTCTCTATCCAACTCCGTCCTTGTACCCAAGAAACTTGGAAAATCACGCACAGGAAGGACGGTGATCACATATATTGTTAATGTTATCAAAAAAGATTAGGAAACTGGTTTGGTTTCAATGATGGTGAGATACCAGTTTCAGCGTTCATCTTCAATCGCTAATGTTATCGTTAACTACCTTTTTATTCTTTCAAGCTTGTGAAGTCCTTAATCAACTCTTTGTAACTGCCTGTAATAACTGAGCACCTCCTACAGCCCAGACACCAATCTCAAGGACCCGGTAGTGTTATTTGCGCCTAAAATTTTCGGTTTTCGAGAGTTGTTTGCTGACCCCATAAACCCAACTGTCCTGAGACAAAAGCATTCAGATTACAAGATATACAAGCTAGCCGGAATATTCAACGTTTACCAAGACAAAAGAGGAAATGTTGGAACGTTGATATCAGCTCTGCAACAGAAAGTACCATGGAACACTACTGGTCAGTAGGAAATAAATGTATAATTAAAATCCGGGAAGCTGAGATAAAATATGAAACGCAGCTGGTAGCCTAAGATACTGTTCTCGTACATAACTTACAGAAAAAGGATGCAGTATCAGATTCTCAACCAAATTAGGAAGGGAGTGGATCTAAAATAATAGAAGATGATCGGGAAAAGCTAGAGGCGATGACAAGCCATTCCAGGACAGTTTTCACTTGGCAGCCTCCTCTTAACGAATAACTAGACCTAAATAGAAAGTCAACTAAACGTCTGCACACGGTGAACTTTGATCAAGACGATGTACTTAAGGCTTTAACATCTTAGGCACGGAAAAGTCAACAAGACCAGTCGAACTTTACCTCGAAATCCTGAGACAAATTGCACAAAATATTACAGCCTCACAAATTGCGCCATTCAATGTGTCACATGATCAAGGTGTGTTACTTACGGAATAGAGGGATTTAATTGTCACTCCATTACGTAAAGCAGTACTAAGACAACTCGTATTGAACTATAAACCTGTCAGCCCCACCAGCGTCGAAGTTAATATACTGGAAGGAATAGTCGAAAAGACCATAATTATGTTTATGGAAACCAACAACTTGTTGCACGCCGAACAAAATGGTTTCAAAAGATGTTCATCTTGCACAACAAACGTCCTTATAGCAAACCTTTAGACAATGGGAAATAAATAGTTGTTGTCTACATGGACTTCAGTAAGGCATTTGACAAGGTGCCGGCAAATAGATTGCTATTGAAGCTGAAAATCTAGGCATTGCCGGACCTCTCCTAAAGTGGCTTAAGGATGTCATAGTAGTGCGTAGACATAAAGTAACAGAAAATTCAAAGTGCTTTATCTGAAGACCAGTACTTAGTGGAGTACCTCAAGGTTTTGTCCTAGGTCCTTAAATTTTTATATTGTGTATAAATGACCTCCCGAGTATAGTTGAGCCCCCGATTTCATTATACGCTGATGATGTAAAAATCTGACGAAAAATAATGGGAGACGCAGATGCATGTGCGCGTCAAGCAGACCTAAATATTGTGATTAATTAGTCTAAAGAATGGCTGATGCCTGTCAACGCAGCAAAGTGTCTATATGCACATCAGGGATACAGTGGTAAATAAGTACAGCATAGGGGAGGTGCGTATACCTGTGGCCCGATCTCTCAAGAATCTTGGAGTGACAGTGAGGCATTATCTTAAGACCACTGCCCGCTACCGGGAGTTTACGGCTAAGAGGTCTAGAACCCAATTGGCTGTAAGACGGACATTACCAAGTTAGATACTACCATTTCCAATACAATATACAAAATCCTACACAATACTAAGCTAGAAAACTCCATCCAGGCTGCAAGCTCCTGCCTGAAGGGTGACCCAGATATCCTGAAAAAAGTACAGAGGGCAGCTACTGATGAAGTTCCAGAACTACGGGGTTTACCATACAAAAAGTGGCTTGGAAAGCTAGACTTCTTTACTCCGTCCTACCGCGGATAACGAGGTGATATGATTTTGATGTATAGAATAATAAGAAAAGCTTTTGAACTTAAATTATCCCCTCTTTTTCTTCCCACTAGATCGTGACATCTTAGAAGACGTAGCAGGCTAGCAGAAAGACGAACAACGAACAAAATACCCGGGGCATACAGGTTTTCACACCGAGTCGTCAATACTTGGAACTCGTTATCCGAGACAGTGGTACCCGCATCTTCATTTGACTCATTCAAGAGAACACTGGACACTCATAGAAGCATACTAGAAAAGGCAGAACATTGACCGTAGGCCTTCTGTCCTTGCTACACAAATTGGAATAAGTAACTGCCAAACCAACTAAAACTAGTGAAGTTGAACGGTTAAAATAAAGCTTATTGAACCGTATATAAAGGACTAAGAAATGCACTGGAACAAAAGCAAGTGAGTTCAAAGAATGCAAACTCAATACTCAAGGACATCACAATGATATTGGATATCGTATATTACAGTTTACTGCCACCTTTAAAGATGAAGGTCGTCTGGCACCTGAAGTCATGTCGTACTTTTCACACCAGTGTACTTTGTCCTCAGTGGCGCTTGAAATTACTTGAAAAGACAGTCGTTCACTGTCATGTTTTCACAGTACCAGTAAACCACTTTTCAACTCGTAAAAAAGATGTAATCTCTGATATGATAATTGCTACGATCTACAGAATCAACTTACGATATTCACGATTCCTAATTTAATTACAGCTTCACGAATCACACTTACACCTTTTATTGTTAAATCTATTTTTTGCTGTGACTTGAGTATGGCTTTAGGTCTTACTATCGTTGCCGGAGTCACAGATACGGTGAGATTTTGTTTGGCTTTTTTATATGAAACATGTGAAGTTAGATGGGCTTATAGCCCGAAATGTGTCCAACCAGGCCTCAAATGTCGGAAGTTTTTTGGACCCTCTTGCTGACAAACTTCTTGTGACTTCTTTGGTTTTGTCATTGACAGTGATGGATTTTTTCCCAGGTAACAAGACGTTTATCAGCTGACATTCTACTAGTCAGTCTTGCCTGTCTTTTTGTTTTCCGTGATTTGGGAATAGTTATTACGGTTTTGTCTCTAATGTTCTGGAATTTCGGTTCAGTAGGTTCGCATATTCTATAAAATTTCTTCAGCTTACTACAAAGATATTCACCGAGAAAGTTGAAATGAAGGCATCAAATATCAGCAAGGTATGTTTACTTCTCACAGTTAGTTCAATAGTGTGAAATCTTAAATTAGCTTGGTTATATCTGGAGCTTAACTCAATATTCTGTTTGACCTTCTGTCCCGTAAAATTAATTACACACCTTTGTTAGTTTGATGCAATTATCTTAATGAAGGTATGAATCAGTGCCTCTATGGCAATTTTGTTCTCAGTTGCTTTTTAGTCAGCCTGAATGATAACAAGATTAAGTTTCGTTCTCTTAGCCTTAAATTATGCAAAAACTTCAAATCTCTAGTCCTTTCGTAGTTCTAAAATCCCTTTCGCTCACTTTGTTAATCGATCTCCAGTTTCTTAGGTATGAATGGTCCTGACCAGTGTAATTTGTAAAATCCTAGCTTCAGTAAAGATCTGGAGTTTATGCTGAATTTAGGAACAATATACTGGATTAATCTGTTTACTTTCAAACCTGGTCGTTAATGTATTGACCAAATCCCTACCATTATTTGAGTTTTTGAACATAAACACCAATGTCCTTTAAACTTAATTAAGATTATGCATTTACACTTGTTCTTAAACAGAGCGGTATAACTCATCCGGTTTTGCTCTTCAATAGAACAACAATTTTAGTGTTGTAGAACTTTTCAGTTTATTAGCAAACGGTAGCCGTGCACAACTTAATTCATTGAATCTTAGTTGAATGAAGAAACTTACTTTTCTACTTAAATTTTGACTAAGACACCATGTTTTGACCTTTTGTTAAAAATCAGGCTTCTGATCACCTTTCTACACAAATGTTTGTTTTGTACAGCTATCCGTCTAGGTCTATTTGCGTCTTACGGTTAGTCAGTCAGCTACGGCGTAGGACCAGGCACATATATGCATCGGTTCAAGTTGCCACACCTCATTAACACAACAAGGTGAACACCAAAATCGTAGTAGTTACTTCATTGGTAGTAACATAAAAGAAAGATAGCATATAAGGATATAATACAGGAAGAAAGAACTAGTTCGTAGAAAGAAAGGTATAAAGTAACTTTAGTCTCATAGGATGACAAAGGGTGTATATACCTACTCCATTGTGATCAATTCTGAGTCATGTCACCTAGTGTCCAGCCACTGGTTCCCCACAAAATAATGAAACTCTTTCCTGGGTAAAAACCTCTGTCTTGCTTAAATTCTTGTCTGTTCTGGAGTTTTATTAAACGATTGGTCATTCATTTTCTCAGTCTTTTAATTGTCTAATTATAATTATTTCCAATAATTCTTACATTGACTTTATAGCTGAATACTCTTTGTCAATTATCGAGTATCATACTTAGCATGACATATCCTTTGTATGGACTCCCTAACTACGAATACCTAAAGGTTGTATGGTGAGTTAAAATGTTTGCAAAATTTAAATATTTCCATTTTGTGATTTATGAAGGCCTATTAAACTTGATAATCAGTAAGCCATTCATAAGTAGTGTAAAACCTGACACATATGTGTATTAGTTCACCACAAACCGACGTCTGTAAAATTTAAAAGTGAGAGTACTAAACAGTCGCCTTTTCTGGTTCAAAACTCCTCAGCGTTGTGTACTCACGGTCTCATAATACGACGTTCAAGGTCTCGTAAAAATAACACTTGACTACTATGTTCGAATTCGGTGATATACATTGCAATGCGTTTTAACAGTCATCAAATGTCATAGATGAGCGTTACCTTATTCTGTACTCGATTAGATCCACAGATCACGACCTGCCATTAGAACTTCTGGGAAAGCAGATCACCATTTGGCACTGCGATTTAATGAAACTTCATAAATACAAGTTTGGAGATAAATTTTGACACAAACTAACAAGTTATTTCTTTGCTGTTTTTTTGAAATACATGGTCTGATCATTTATATATATGTTTTGACTAGTTTATTGATTAATTTGACACTAATTAGCAACAGTTAAACGTGTGACAAACCAAAGATCTAGGAAAACATTTTCCAAACTTATTCTGTCAATATATTTTTAATGAAGCAGGTGCGATAAATAAAATAAGGTAAAGTCAAGGACAATACAAATGGAACGCATAGGATATCTGATATTTGAGAAAATATGTATATATCGTGGATTGTTTTACCAACTATAAATTAAAAGATTCGAAGTACCAGTAGATTAATTAGGAAATTCCTCTAATAATAATTTTTTCTGGAGCCGCATCTTTTTTTATCCCTCAAATTGAGCTCTACAATTCTATTTTGTCTACCAAAAATTGTTTTAATACACAGTTTTCTAATGAAGTGTAAATATGCCTCTCAAAAAATCTTTATTTGTGATTTTATCCTAATCTCTCACATGGTATTCTTGTGTAAAATCACTTCAAACAGCCACTGTTACTAGTAGTGGGTATTTCACCAAAATCGGTAGTGTATAAACCATTATAAGATAAAAGGTGTTGCTAGTAGAAAGAAATACAGCTACCATGGTCGGTAGTTTTAAGAGCGTTAATAATCATGTGCCTCTCAATGTTACTGCATCAACTTATAAAAAAACCTATTTGTAACAAAAAAAACAATTAAAATCAAAATGCTTAACAAACGTAAGTTTAGATAAATTAACCTCTGAAGAGTTTCATATAAAAAGTAGATGCAACCAGTACACTACATATTTTTTATTTGATATCTCTGGCTTATAAATAACCGGCGAATCTTAGTTTGATCATCGTATTCCGGTAACAAATATAACTCTGTCCCACAAATTTACTATTTCTCTTGCAATCATATTCTCTGTCGAATCTTGCTACTGCCAATTTAATTACCACTACGCCTGTTACACTGATATTCCTTTCGGTAATTCCATTTATTTTGCTTATGTGGCGTAGCAACTTGAAATGATTAACATTTGTGATATATGTAAGTCCCTGAGCGATATCACTGTCTTACTTCACAAATTAAAATTCCGATTACTATTTTTCTATCTCACATATATTATTCCATCGATAACCTAGAATCTTAGACTTGATTAGTTGTACGTTGTAACTGGCAAAAGTAACATTCACCTATCGTAACATACACTCCTATTCATCTGCCTATCTGCAAGACTTGCTGTATCCCCAGCCTTGGACCTGAATAGAAGCCAGCACTTAAGCTTCTATTATTACTATATTTCGATTGCTCAATCCAGCTAGCCAACATCTCAGACACTCATTAGGATATATATATGCAATATCAGTTTTCACAACACATCTAATAGTGACTGTGGATTAACTGTGTATTTAATCTATGTATTTTATCCACAAAAATATTTAAACCATCAACAGTACTTGCTCACAGTTGTCTAAACCATTTATTTTTGTAGTCCAACAGTGTCATTAAATATAAATGCCCACTTCACAATTATGAATTTAAATGTGATTACAAACGATTTCTTCATTTTTTTAAAACTAGATTTACTGAATACTAACACTCATAGTGTTTAGTTAGGTTAAATATACACCTTGTTCTATACTGTGTGCGTTCTCACTGGTATACTGGCGACGTATTGGCAATCAATGATTGGACGTACTTAGTGTCGTTCTCCTTTAGCTTAACCTTCTGTAACTGTTTTCCTAACCAATGCGGTTATGTAATGGTCATTATTTTTAACCATTGCTCGTTATATTGATTAATAGGGTCTTGGAGACAAGCAAGATGTCCCTTTATTAACGATTTAATATTTATTTATAATTGCCTAACTTTAAAAGTCTGCGCATTATATATTGAACTATCTTTTCATTGACCAAGTCAGTATCACATTCGGTCGAATTAAAATACTATTCAAATTTTATGATGGGCATATTTAATTTATGGTTAAATCAAACGAAATATACCGGAAGTAAAACAATCGTCATTAATGGCATTGGATTGTTGTTGTACTATATTGCGAATTGATTGAAGTGAAAATTATACCGTTGAACCTCATGGCTCTAACCGTCAAGTGTCTGCTGCGAGACCTACGGCTCCTAGGTTAGATCCCTGGTGAAGTTGTAGTTGTGTACTACTGAGGAGTTTTATACTAAGACTAGACACCTGTCTAGTATTCCCTGACTTCCAGTCATATCCCAACTGAAATTAACCTGTGACTAATACAATCTACAAGTCAAACCAATCTCCATAAAACTCATTTAATTAAATTAAACCGCTGAAAAGATATCACATTATTTAGTATAGACAATCTATCATATTACTCATTTTATGTATAATACCATCATTGTTTTTCTTTCAAAATTTATAAATCATTTTTCCTACTAGGCTTCTTTCAGCTGGAACTACAATTGGATCTGGTTTAGGATATTTAAAAAGTTTACCAGAATGGCGGAGACGGATGGCTGAAATCTCCACGAAAAGAAATAGATAGATAAACTATTTTATTTTGTACACGGTTTTTTAATCAACAATTTATATCAAATTGTATCTCTTTCAACGAAATGGTTGTCTTCATTGTCAACAGTTTACATATATATATATATAACATGTTATGAAAACTAACCGTTTGATTGAATAAAATCCAGAGAAATAAACTATTATAAAGAAAATAAATGAGAATATCCCATGTACAACTTGAAAACAATTATCATCTATTAACTTATGATAATTTACTCTATTAAAGTTTAATGCATAAATCTTAATATAAACCTGAGGAATGATTTCATGTTATTTAAAAGTCAAGTCGTCATCTCTGTTCACTTTCAACTGAATAATTCAAAGTGAATACACACTTACTATAAAGTCCTGAATTCTATTTCTGTGTCATAGGTATGCACTGTTAAGCAATCCTCATATCCTAGTGTGAATCAGCTGTCCAATGTTCTTTAGATTTTACTGCGAATCAATTAATTTAGTGATCTCTTTGGATAAAACAAGTATATACATGAAGTTGAATTAACAGGTCAACAAAACAATGTGAATTATATCAAATTTACAGATAAATACATTGTAGCAAGAGTCTGTAGCTGTCTCATTAGGTGACAAATAATAATCACTAGTTTATATTTTAACAACAAATGAGTAGAAGTAACTATTCTATTTAGAAAAAAAAACAACATACCAACGTCGCAGAAACTTTATTTTTAAAGTATGCAGGTCATCAAACTTATCCTCTTTCAAAATAATGGTCTCATTTTTGCTAAATGCGTTTTCATTATCCACATTAAATCAAACTGATTAAAGGTGGTGAAGACTCAAGTACAGTTGGTTGGCTATTCTATTATCTATTGGTAACAACATCTACTGCGCATTTTAACGGGTATTTATTGGAGAAAGCAAAACGGAAATTTTATGCAATGGGACCAAACTGTAGTTACTAGAATAATGCTAGGATGACAGTTGTCTTTGCTGCGTAGGTTTACTAGTGTGAACGAGAGGAGTTTGTTGAACTATTGCTATCATTTGAGTTAGTGATACACTACTGTGAAAATCTAATCTATGATTCTTTCAAGAATGCCTGGTGAAAAACAGTCACAAGCTTGTATTTCTTTGCACTTATCTTTGTGAGGACCTATGCGTTCGTCAATGACGTTGAAATTAAGTCAACTGGATTATTATAGAATAGGTCTCATAAATGGCAGTGCAATCAAATAAAAGTAGATTTTATAAAAGGAAGTCCTTTGGCCTCCGTTATTCCGTTATTGAACAATTGCTTTTCGAAGAGGAAGAATAGCTTGTTGTTGATATTATCTTCAAGATATGAATCCTTACTTTTAACAACTAGTATCTTCCGTTGTAATTTGTTGAATGGAAGCCGTTACAACGAACTATTCAATCTAAATAACTGATCTTTTAGTCATGTATTCTAGTGAGCAAATCAGAGAGACTTAACTAACTTTGTTATACTTCTATCTTACTATTTCCCAATAGCTAATTGTTGGGTTATATCTCTACAGTTTATTCAGTTCATATTTGCTTATCGTATTCAGCATATGTCATTTTCAGCAGCTTATTTGTTTTTGGTACATTTGGCTAATCAGAAATCGTCCAAATGATAGGTTCATATGATTGGCCAAGAAATAGCTTTCATTTGTAATGAACAAATCATACACCATTGGTGGCCTTAGTCTCTCCTGTCGAATAGTTGTTTATTGGACTCGTGAATAATAAGACCACTTGTCAGTATCAACTATCAAATACTACATATCATGACAGGTTGCCTTCATTTCTATGTCGAGCATAAAAATATTGGAAGAACTAAGTTCTCATGTTCAGAATATTAATGATGGGCTTATGTGGTTCACTGTTAATTAGACATTGGACATTTCTCATCCTATAGATTAAAAACTCCTTAGAATATTATTACCAAAACTTTTTAGCTGACTATCTTTAAGCAAACAAAAAAGATGGACTTTGAAGAAATATCGGCGACATTTTTCAGGGAAACTCCGTGCAACTACAGGCGAAAATACACCAGGTTTCCGTCTTTTTCACCAATCCGGGGAAATGTCTCAGAGTTGGTATATCAACCTTCGCTTGAATTAACATCGAGTAATCTTATTTTCCCACAGATTAGGAGCGATCAGTATTCTTTCCCCTTAAATTTTGCCAGTGGGGAAAAACCTAGAATTAACATAGTTCTTTCGTTTATTTCCTTTTTTAAACTTGGGTCCTGGTGTTTTGCAGTACAAAAAGTTCACCATTGGTTCTAATCGAATATGTTAAGAATACCTGTGAACAAGAGGTTACCGTCAGTCTTTGTACGTATAACCTACTGAAGTGTAGTTAGTTATGGATTTGTCTAATGCGTAGAGTACAAGATTAATTTCTGACAGGAGGATGGTTGGTAATTTGTTATAACGAATTGTGTGATGATAAATGATTTTGGTTTTAGTTTTAAGGCAGTTGCTACTCACCACCAAACTAAGTGAATTTTACATGTTTTGTAGTGGCACGGAATATAAGTCCATAAATGGGTGATTGAAGACGGCATAGACCAATAGTTTATAACTGTAAACGGTTTTTATGAGTCTAAATATCTGTGACAGGAGACATTGTTCATTTGTTTCAAAATTTATACAGTAAATTCATTCCATATGAACTGTAATGAAAAACTTCAGATAGATGAGTCGAGGAAATCTGACCTGTTTCAAGTTAGTTTTGATCTGACGTGTACATCAATTAAGGAGTCACTTTAAGTTGAGACATACCGAATGAACTTTAATTCAACTGTTTCATATACTGATATGTAACTGACGGTTATAGTATATTATGCTACGTTATCACTGAACTGAAGTTAACATGAGGGACGTATTCAACTTCAGTACTTACTACAAGTCCTTAAAGTAATCGGTTCATTCTCAACAGTTGGGACGAGTGTTGAAGAATAAAACTAAATAGGTATACACATTTTTATTACTTTACAATGATTATCTGATGTACATTAACTTGTTCCTGTGAAGAATTATGTGATTACTTTGCTATATGTCTACATATTCAAAATATTTCATTCTTTGTAAATAGCTCATTTATTATTCTATTTCTCTGACAAACAACTTTATCAGTTTGTTTAACCAGAACAGAAAAAGCCAGCCAACTTAGTTTCTATAATTCCTCATCCTTTTCTTTTTGTTACAACTTCAAGCAGTCCCCCAGTTTTAAGAGTGTATATTCCCGTTTAACCTCGACTAGTTCACTTTTCTTTTTTTTTAATCGCTTATATTCAGTACAGTAACTTGAGTTTCCATTGTTATATCTATTTACTTATTAGTTTACTCTGACCCTTCCAATATGAAGCATATTCATCCACAAATAACACTACTAACAACTATGATAACTAAACTAAATGGGAGTTATTTCACAATTATTGCTTATCGATCATTGCTGACAGTTGTAAAGGTGACATTCATTATATTCTGTTGAAAGTAACGAACCTTGAAATTACATAGGGTTCTTTGAATAAATGTCAAAGAAATATTTGTGACAACTAATTTACTGCAGTGTTTTCGGATATCATTTAACAAGTCTACACAGATTAACTATTGTTTTATTCGATGTCATCGTCGTTAAACAAGTTGACATCTGGAACTGATATCACACAACTGTCTGTTAAAATTATATCGTTAACGCCTAAATTAGCTCGTGAACATTTCCGTTCAAAAGTAACCAAGAATACAATCCTCTTATTAGCCAAATGGCATCTAATGAGAAAATAGTTTGCTATACTTTTTAATAAATGAACTATGAAATTATAACAAACATCTCAGAGGAAGTACTACACTGAGATAGTTTATTAGCATAAAGCACATGTGGAATTATACAGTTTCAAGATAGTTTACATCGTTTTAGCTAAACAACTATTGAAAACTAGGGAATACTAAAGACTACTGTGTCATCCTTTTGTATAGGATTCCTTTAAAATGCCTACCCACTACCCTTCTTACCAGGAATCAATATAAGGAATTTTGTAATGACTGTGTAGATTTCAAGACACTAGGTTGCTACTAAAAATTCACATTTCCAACTTCGGTCAATTCACGGTATTGTGGATACATTATTTCCATTAGCTATCAGTACAGCAACATTTATTCAAAGCGGAGATGTATTGTATCCGAATGAGATTAAATTGTAGGTTACTTCTGGGGACTATTCGTGGACAGTAATAATATATTTTTTAGTGTATAGCTACTAAGTAACTGGATTGTATATGTTTATATTACTTTTATTATAAGCTTTCATTTGACCTGTTGGCTACTATTAAACGATTTGCTATTTTTAAGTTATTCCCAATCTACTAGTTACAGTCTCTCACACTCGCAGCCACTTTTGACTTGATCTTTTATAATTGTTATTTTTCTGTTTTATGGTATTATGCGGTCTGATTTGTTTGTATATAAACTTCGTATGTCTGAAATTTACGATTCACACAGCGGATGCTGATATTTGTCGTCTGGACTGAAGCGGCTAGGTTAGGCGAGAAGCTACTACACAGAGGACCAATAAGAACTCTAAATTGTCTCAAGAGTGGTTATGCTGATTAACGCGTCACTGGTTTATCATAGGGACAGTGTCATAGAAGTCAGTATTCTAATTGGCAATTTCGTCACATAAGACATAACAAGATGAATAGTGGTTAGCGATGAAATTCATGACGCGTGTTTCTTCTTATTTGAGAATCGTCAACTGAATGTGTCTGGATCTCAGAAATGAGGTTCACTCTGGGACCAAATCCAGTATCTTTCGCTTCTAACGCCACCATATTATTCACTGAGTCAAGGTAGCCACCGGTTTGTGCAATGGGATAGATTTTAGTTCACATGTATTGGTTAGTTGAATCTCCACATTCATATTTAGGGTTGAAAAAATGGCAATACAAAGGCAATCTGTACAGAATCCACACACAACAGAGAAGAGACTGGTCAATTGCAGTCCCAAACAACGTTGGTAATATTCAGATAACCAACATATATCACCTTTTTTTCTAAAATTGAGAACTATATGATGATAATTTAGTCAATAACTTCTAATAATAAAACAGAATAAAAGATGTGAAATATGTATCTGATTTACACAAGGTAATAATTGTTGGAATGTTCATCATTTTTTATGATAATTACATGATTATGCAATAATGTGAATCTTATTATTTATATATATATATTCTTACTACTATTACTGATATAAGTAGTGTTATTCAAAAAGGACTAGACAAATCATTATTTGTGTACATGTGATTTATAGCAATTTATATAATGAATTGTTGTATACAGAAACGATAATACTAGTATTTTGATTAAAGTCAATTATTGAAGAGGAAATGATTTAATGATGATGATTATGATTATGAAGAGAAGGAGTGAGATGTAGAAGTAGAGGAATACAAAAGTGAATTAATATGATGATGATGATGATGATACATTATGTGATTCACTGTTATTATTATCATCATTAATGCTTATCAGTTTACTATTCACATGACTATACATATACGAATCATTTAAAATTCCAACTGAATTTGATTCATCATTATGAGTTAAATTAAGAAAACTTG